GGGTTTGAGCCCGAGATAAACGCGGGGCTGGGAGGGGAAGGGAGGGACGCGAGGGGAGGACGGGAGGGGTCCCGGCCTCGCTGCCACCCCCTCCCCAAAACCAAAAAACCCCAAAAAACCCCCCCAGGACAGAAGCAGGAGCGAGGGGCAGCGCACGGCGCGGGAATTCCAGGAATTGCGGCGGGTCCTGGACGAGCAGGAGCGGCGGCTCCTGGAGCAGCGCGGGGACCTGGACGGGGCCTTGGGGCGAGCGCAGGAGCGGGCGCTGGCCAAGGTGTCGGAGGAGCTGTCGCAGCTGGACACGCTCATGTGGGAGATGGAGGGGAAATTCCAGCAGCCCCCGAGCCGCTTCCTGCAGGTGGGAGCCCGCAGAGCTCGGGGGGAAAGGGAGAAAAAGCCAAATCCGGGAGCCCAAATTGTCCCCGCTGTCACCTGGGGGTGTCCAGGTGCGGCAGAGCTCGGACGTCCCTGAGAGCCGCGTTGGGCCGGGGTTAGGCCGGGTTTTAAATTCCCCCCGACCCAAACCGGGCTGGAATTGTTCGGTCCCGGGGTTTGAGGGAGCGCGATTTTCCTTCCTCGTCTCTCACCATCCCCTCTCTCCTCCCACCTTTAGGAGATCCCGCAGCTCCTGGACAGGTAACGCAGCTCCTTCCCCTCTGGGGACACCCAGGTGAATCCCGAGATTTCCTTCCAGGAGCTCAAATCCCGGGCTCGGGAATTTGGGTCTGGGGGAAAGAAAATGCCCCAGGGAGGGCGGGGAAAAAAGGGGCTTGGATTTGCCCCGGGGATAAAATCCTTTTTTAAAATACGAATATTGAATAAAATATTTATTCAATGGGAATGAAATCTCAGACTGGGGGGGGTTTTTGCCCCCTTTTTTTTTTTTTTTTTTTTTTTTTTTTTTCTCTTTTTAATTTTTTTTTTTTCTTTTTTTTTTTTTTTTTTCGGCCTCCCGGCAGCTGCGAGACGATGAAATTCCATCCCCCGGCCGAGATTTCTCCCGAGCTGCAGCGGAGCCTGGAGGATTTCGCCCAGAGGAACGCCCTGGTGAGGGGAGCCCTGAGGAGGTGCCAAGGTGCCGAGAGGGGCCGGGAGGGGAAATGCGGAGGGAATGGGGTCCCTGGGAGCGAGGTCTGGGA